GATCCCCAGTGCGCTTGGTTGGAGACATTACAAGATACGGCTGGCAACCGATGCCAGTGGCGTTCTTGTTGTCAGTTTCTATTCAGATTGCCTGAGTGAATGTCTGGAGGTGTAGGCATATCTGAATGATTGTGTTAAGCTGGCACTAAGTCCCTTCCCCGTCCACCTTTATTCTTTTCTTTACAATAAGGCCCTTAAATAAATCATGGTTGTACGGCAGTGAAACACCGGTGTTGAACACTGATGTTATGTTGTCGACGATGGTGATGGGAAGGGTCTGAAACAAAGAGAGCAGGTAGAAGAGAGAGGTAGAGAGCAGGCAGAAAAATTTCAAGCAGCATATCAACAACAAAGTTAAAGAGGAGGGATGAAAGAGAAGAGCCTTGTGTTACACCACTGGACGTGTTCGACTCAAGCGAGAGCATCTCGTATACTCGTACGCGCCCACGGGAGTTCGCATACAATGTCCTCACAGGGAAATTAAATTTGGAAGGGACAGCTTTGATCGCCAGACAGCCGAAAGTTGCTGACGATCGACAGAATCAAAGGCAGCGTTCAAATCCTGGAAAACCAACCAACGTAGGACGTCTGAAGTAGAGGCGCTGTCGAAGGATTTGTCTCAAGGTAAAGATACGGTTGATGCATCCTCAACAGGGCGAAAAGCTAGCTTGATTCTCACGAATCTATCTCTCTCCATAGTCCACCAACCTGCCCAAAATAATGCCGGAGAGAAACTCAGATGCGTGGGATACCAGGCTGATACCATGATGATTTCCACATGACGTTCTTACTCTTTTTTTGAAAACCAGTATGACGGTCGAGGAGCTCCATTGAGCTGGTATTCTGTTTCCGTTCCAAATCTTCTGCAGCATGTTTGTTAGAATGTTCACCAGGACCTCGCCACCTTCTCTGAATAGCACGGGGTGTAGACCATCCGGGCCAGGTACCTTGATGCCCTTCAAGATTAAAATCTCACGCTGGATTTCACTTGCTGATGGTGGGTTGGTGCCACCACTCCATTCTGATCCGCTTGGTTCTTCTAGCGGTTGTTGGAGGATACCAGGCGAACTGTTCTTGGAAATGCTCAGCTCACCGTTGAAGATGGCGACTGAGGAAGTGAATTGCTATCCAGTCTTTCTCGCATATTGTCTAATTGACATCTGCCTTGTTTTGACCCATTGATCAAATCAGTTAAAACCGGGCGCAGCGGTTTCCTGCAGCGAAAGCCTTCTCCATCTCCTGGGCCTTCGAAATTCCACCCGGTTCTCTGTCATTCTTTAAGCCCCTGATTACCCGGTGTTCGAGGGATCTGTGTGCGCCACCCGTGGCCTTTTTGTCAGAAATAAGATCTGTTGATCTCGAAGATATCCAGCGTTCATTTAGTCGAGTCAGATGGGTTGGACAAACAGTCCTGAGAGCTGGGAGCATAGTTCCTTTAATTCGCCTCCATTCATCCTCCAATCTTCGTCGTCTACATGACTGTCTTTTTCGTAGCTTTCCAGCCAGATCAGCTCGATACTCTTCAGCTACCGAAACTTGACGAAGTTGATGAACGGAGCTGCTCTCTTTCGACACGCGTAGTGCTGGCGGAAAGCCAATTGCTGAGCAAGTCCACAGGATGCCGTGTACCACAGAAGGAACGACAACCCTTAATTGAGGATCTCCACCGGCAACTGATAGCCATATGTTTCAAATAAGTTCACGACTGTCTTGTGGTAGGCGGCCTTCAAGTAACTATGTGTGAGTGTTTGTGTTGGAAGTTCGTACTGGCCAGGAACAGACGATGATCTGCACACAACTGAAGAAGCCGCTCTCCATTATCTGTAAGGTCAGCATTGACTCCAAATCGCCTAGCTAACTGTACTTCTTCCGGACTTAGTCGTCCAACTTGGACGTTCATATTGCCCGCCAGGATTACTATATCCGCCCTTCTTGCTGACCGAAGACGTCGTGACAGATCTTGATAAAACTCGTTCTTCTCAGTCTCAGAACTGCTATCTGCTGGGGCGTATGCCGATACGACAAACAAGCACCATTTACCACATCGACCTGCGTTAGTCTTAATTGAACCAGACTACTGCATAGCGCCAAAGCGACTGTTTAGTGACCAGTAAGGTGCTTTCAGCCTTGTGTTCGTCACAAACAAATTGGACCTATCCGATAAATACATCATTTCTGACTGTATAGTTATACATAGTCGCTGAATGGCGCTTTAGATATCACTGATTTGTGTCAATAACACTCATCACAGGCATGTAGAGACCGTGTAAGCAAAAAAAGCCTTAGACCTTAAGCAAAGACGGAGTACGACTGGAAAAATACTTAAAACGCGGTTGCAGAGCATATAAACCAAATTAGGGTTCTATTTATTATTAAAATCCTATGGAACCTTTCATGAACTCCCCATAGGTCACAAAAAATGAAGAATCGAAAAGCTGTGGTAAGAGTGATATTCGGTGCCTTTTGAGCAACACTGAGCTCTTTGGTTTTGGAAATATTTTGACCGTATCGAATAACGTGCCGGTGGTCACGGTCAACCGTTAGGCGATCGGAGTTTGCGGATTTTAGGGCCGACCTTTTCTAATCCGTACTTCGTCGGGGGAAGCCAGCATCGTTGCTTCCGTGAATATGAACATGTTGGTCACCTGGGGGAAACGCCCTACTGCTTTCGAACTCCTATCGCAGAGGACTTTACCTCCAGACCGCCTCGCAATACGATTACTCGCAGTACAGAGACTAGCTGTTCTTCAACGGGCTGCTTCCCGTTGACCCTTTGTTGTGGTTTGCTGAACGGTCGTGCAACTCTGTGCCGATCCTCGGGTTCCTGCTCTACCCACTATCCGGAGGCCAACAATCCCTAATAACCGGACATCACATCTGTAATGTGCCGACGGATGTCAAACTGCGCGCCATCGTTAATCACAGTCTCTTTTGTCTACTTCCAGAAGCGGCGGCGGTAACGGTGGTAGAAAACGAAGACATCCCTGAATACCGGAGAGATGAGATTGATCGCCCTCCCCAGCGACTACAACCGTCTGATGTTTATATATGCTTGTACCCCCTGTTCCCCGTTGTTGACCCTCTCTCTCCTGAATCCCCACGTGTTCAGAGTTTCGGAGAATAAACCGTTGAACCTACGCTCTTGTGCTTCTATGTGGACAGTTGGCGAGAGTTACCAACTTACTGTTACATCCAACTAATACGTCGCATTCTCCTTTTCAGTCCACCCGACTGCTATTCTCAGAACATCCACACGGTGAGTTTGGATACTTTTATACACGCAGGCATATTACACATCGTATGATTGGATGTCTCACGTGCAGGCTGCGGACAAAACGAAGGCATGCCCCGATTGGTCAGAATGTCAGCCAATCTGGATCGAGCATCATAGGCTCGATGCTTCTCACACCTACCCGGAGATTCTAGCACGACCTTGCGGAGAACTGTGATTAACCTACAAATAAACTTTTAATAATTTTTCTTTGTCTCCATAAGGGACTATCTGAGACAACCGTGTTTTCGGTATACCATGGTGAGCGGAGCAGGAAGTCATGGGCTGGCACAGAGTTGCACGGTCGCTCAGCAAGTCAAACAACTGGCGGTAACCCGAACCCAGGATGTCAGTTTCGGGAGCAGCAACAGAAGCAGCTTAAAAAAGCTCAAACGAGACATGCTGAACCTCTGATGCGCAGTATGTTGGTCAATGTGACAAAATCATTCGGTCCTCCGTCAGCGTCCGCAGATACTGCTACCAGCTCAATTACATAATTCAATTCCGACACTGAATCTGGATGAACTCTCCAAGGTTGGTTCAAGAAATATGAGGACATGTTTCAAACCGACTTTAATCAGTTTGATGACGCATGGAAATTTCGACTTTTGCTGCGGAAAGTGGGGACATCTGAACGTGTTCGTTTAAAATAACATGGTAAAATATATTCCCAACAATTGGTGGCACACCACCACGCATGATCATATGGTTACATTTAGAATAGAGCACGAATGGGAGAATTTGCGGGGAGTGCGCGGGAAAAGGACTGCCATAAACAGTGGGCGATATCCGATGTAGATTTGGCCACGCCTAAACTGGCATGGGAAAGGAGGCACAATTACCAGGAGTTTATCTTACTTAGGAGGGAGACATATCAAGCCAAGATGGTACCAATTAGCCGCACAACGCTCTTAGCTGCAAGTGAAATATTGAATTTTGCTGCGTATGTGCTCAAACCAAAATTCATCCTAATCTACTTTCATCTCCTGCGGCTCACGGATTCCATTGTCCACTGAAGCCATCATACCTCTGGCGGAAAATGCCTGCGGAATACTTATCTAGCAGCTCTGCTACCCTGGGATGCCCAAATGGTTATCGAAAGATCGAAGTCGTACTCTGAACTCAATTACCTGTCTCTTCAGTCCGATAAGGCACGTCGAAGCTTTCAAAAATTCAATTCCATTGTGTGAATACTGAGCGCCGGGACAAGATAAGACCATTAGGGCTGGAAAATGGCGGGCAAAAACAGAACGAGAGAGGGTGGGAAGGAGGTGTCCTTCTTGATGCATGATGAAAAAACTTCGAATGGCGGAAAGTGATGAGCCAGTATAACGAGTCTGGTGCGGTAGCTGGATTGTCACGATATTGCCGGTCAGTGTGAACTAAAGTCTAAAACTTTCAACGGTTCCTGTTGGGCCTTGGAATTTTGGGCTTACAGCAAGGGTCATACAAAGTGGAAGCGGGGATGATGAGGTAGAGAAATCAATAATATGGATAAACGGTGGCGAAAATTTCGGTCATGGTGCACAATGAAACTGTGGAGACTCACTAGTGTCACTGCTGGAGTGGGTTCTGGAGTAGAAGTTCCTTGGGGGAATCAGGTGCAAATGCACAAGAAGAAACGCGAACTGCACGGAAAATGACTGGCTCTGTGGGGAGCACAAGGCGAAAGTCAACACTAGGTGTTCACATCCGGAATGGGAGGTTTAGCGGACTGGAATGAAACGGTCCCGGAGGCGGATGGGGCCAGGTGAAGAATTTGTTCGCAGTTGAGGATTAGGGCACGAGTGAGCAAGAACGTCGACAAAAGTATGAAATGAACGGTTGCGGGTATGCTATGAAACTGAGTACGACTGTGCCATGCCATTGTTGCACTGACATACATCGGTTTTTGGACAAACCTGTGATGGACATCATGTTTGAGGCGTTTGGGCTGAGATGTGCAATTCTGTTGGCAGCGGGTTTTTTGTATAGATATTTTCTGGTCCGAATGGGGATCTCTTGTGATGTGAAGCGCCGATCAGATGGAGTGAATAGCATCCAAATAGAGCGTCCGACTCAGGTATAACCGAGGGTCGAAGCATGCACTAATATACGTGGCAGAGGGCCGTATGTGTCCACAAATTCCATGCTCCCCGAACTCCCCCTTGACCTTGGTTTCGCAGGTACTGTCGAAATCCCGGCCCAAATATTTGCTGTGCAAAGTTGCTTGTTCAAAAATGGTTATCAGAGTTTCAACGTTACCAAAATGAGGATTTCAGCACTTATGCCCGTGTGGTCAACAGAAAATGCGAGCGTTTTCAGCTGAGCACCATGATCGAGAATCAATTCAAGTGCCCCATCTTCGTGCTTGGTCTTCAGATATTCGGACCCGGTCAATGAATCGAACTAAACAGGATCAAGAGTTGTCACTTGAGAAACTCACCACCGAGGACCAGCATCTTATCACTTTCAGGGCTGATGCTGCAATGACTAGACACTCCAAATTCTCTCAACCTGATATGGTATGCAAAGTAACTTCCAAAATGCGATCAAATTCTAAACGAACTCCAAGAAAACTGTCCACACCTTGTCGGTTTAGTGAAAAACACCACTGTCCCTACCGGAACCATAGGTGCAGAAGTGCAGTCGAGAGGGTCACGAAGAAGAATGGTGCAGAGACAACTTCAGGGGCTCACACAAAAATCGACCGGAAAAAGGACGCAGGTAGTAGCCATGACCACTATGTTGAAGGTAAAATCATCCGGTTGATGAAAATTTGCCAAAGCTCGTATCAATGGCCTACCAGTTACATTTCAAAATGATAAAGGTTCTGACCTCACTTTTGTGAGATGTGATTCAAAGGCCACCGATGGAAACCACATCGTGCGTAACACATCTGTTGGAAGCCTCAAACCGACAGGGAAACAGAACTTCTCCGTAAGGCTCCAGGAGATTCATCACAATGGTACTTCACGGATCACGGATTGATACACAGGATCGAGGCTTTTGCCCAAGTGTCCCGGGTCGCTTTTGTTCTTATCGGTCAGTGTCGCCTGCCTGAAAGGCACAAGTGAAAATAGGGTGCAGCACTGCTCTTTATGTTCTCAGCACGGGGCAGTATGCTTGCCAGCACGAAGATTCGCTTAAATAAACGTCTAATAATGCTTTAAACTAGGTCATAGAAGGAGCGTGGACCACCATCGGAGGAAGGTCATTCCACGCAGCTACTACACGAAATGAGAAAAAAATTTGTCTAATGTATGTGGGTGCTCTGAGCTTGACAATTTTCTTACTATGACCCCGCCGTGCCTTTGCTGGGTCAACGGTAAAAAACCTGTTTACCAAGCTTTGTTCAAACAGGGCATAAGTAGAATTAGGTCCCTTCTGAGGCGACGGTACTCCAGGGGAAATAGATCAAGCATCGCGAGACGCGTTTCGTAGTCCACAGATTTGAGGCCGGCAACCATTTTCGTAGCGGCCCGCTGGATACGCTCAATGGCGGTGACGTCTTTCGTGCGTCCTGAGTAGACAACTTGGTTGACGTACTCCAGAAGCAGTCTGATGTGGCCCCATAGAGTATTTGGAAGTCCATGCGAGTAATACGGGAGAAGGTGCGTCGGACCAACCGTAAAATGGCGAATGGCTTTTGGGCCGATTTCTCATGCTGGCAGCGTCTACATCCTTTTGGGGGGCACTGACATTGGAACTCCAGGATTTCAAGTCGTCCGCAAAAAGTAGACATGGACGCGCAAGAACGTCTGGGAGGTCGTTGACGTAGATCAGAAACAGGAGTGGTCCCAAGACGGAGCCTTGGGGAACTCCAATGGAGACCGTTGCTGGAGAGGAGTAGGTTGAGCCTATTCTCACTCGGAATGATCTGTCTGATAGGAACGGCTTGATCCAGCGAAGGATTTTCCCTTGAATCCCGCAAGACTCCAGTTTGTAGAGCAGCGGAACGGGCGAGACCCTATCGAAGGCTTTTGAGAAGTCGAAAAATATGGCATCCGATATGAGTCCTTCGTCCTTGGCTTGGGTTAAGCTGTCCATAAACACGAGCATGTTTGTTACGCAAGAACGGTTTGGGAGAAATCCGTGTTGAGCTGGAGATATCAGATTGCTGGAAGTAAGGTGATCTAGGATGGCTCGCTTCAGAATGCGTTCCATCACCTTGCACAGCACGCTAGTGAGGCTTATAGGCCTACAGCTGCCAGGCGATAGTCGGTCACCAGCTTTGTATATTGGCGTGACAATCGCTCCCTTCCAAGCAGGGGGAAGGCGGCCTTCGTCAAGCGACTGACGAAACACAAGGTGTAGTTGGTTTGCCAGTGTGGAGGACGTTTCTTTCAGGATCCTCGGATGGACCCCGTCGGGTCCCAATGCGCAGAATGGGTTGATCTTGTCCAAGAGTTGACGAATGTCCTCCACAGTGAAGACCAAGTCGGTTAGAGGCTGTTCGTAGTTTCTCCTTGACAAGAGTGGATGTGACGAGGACACTGGGGCTGAGTATAGACATGCATAGTGTTCTCTGTAAGCCTCAGATACCACTGTTGAGTCATTCGTCGGTTCTCCGTTTCTGTCCCTCAAGGAGAACGCNNCTGTCCCTCAGGGAGAACGCGGATGGTTTGTTTCTGCGGCGATGTCTCATATACTTGAACAGTACGTTTATGTTTTTTCGAGCGCGGTCCAGAAGGGTGGCTTGTTTTTGTATGTTCTATCGGCGGATTTCCGATTCACATGGGTTCCGCATTTCACGAAATGCCAGCTCACCTTCTGTATCCCCTGCAGTCAACTTTTTGAAAAAGATATGAGATCCTTTTTACAGAAGTCGCCGAATCCTTTTTCGCATCCCGCGGTTCATCCGAGTGCGTGCCGGTTACTTTGGGACGAACGTGGAGTCAGCCTCGTGAGCTTTCTGGACAATGTTCCTATATAGTTCTTCCACCGGAGCTGCTGGTCAGCACACAGTGGTCGCTATGTCCCAGTGGAGCGTTAATTGTCACCTGATCAACGAAGTGTCTTTTGTTGGTGATGACCAAATCCGGGATGGACGGTAGTTGGCCTTCGCGGTATCTGGTGGGTGCAACGACATGTTGAGTCCAAGCGCTCCGTTGAACGATTCCACTCAGCGCCGCTGCAAATGTTCGCCTGATTCGACGCGCTTGAGCTCCATCCAGGAGGCTTTTTGGGCGTTGAAGTCAGCTGTCAGCAGGAGAACAGTGAAGTGGTAGTTGGAGGAGAGTTGCTCATGGGTTTGTATGAGGAATCGTTCATCTTCAGGGGGTCTCGCGAGGCAACGGTAGACAACGCCGAGAAGGAGAAAATCGGACCAGCGCAGCGGGATTTGGACCCACAGTGCATCGCAAAAGTGTGCAGGGGTGGTCTCAGAGAGGACAGTCGGAATTGGTAGGGCCGCATGTAAGTACAGAGTAACCTACCAGCTCTCCCTCGTTTTGAGCCAGCTCGAAAAAATAGAGCAATCTTCTATCGACATCTCCGCGTCAGCGACATCTGGTGTGAGCCAGGTCTCTGTGAGTGCGATTATGGACGGTTTTTCAAGGCAAGCTGACTGTTTATCATCGCCGAATTTGTTGAAAAGACTGAGGACAAGCATTCCAACACTGTCTCTGCTGCCTTCGGGGGTGAGGAGCAGAAAGTTGGGTGATCAGTGTGATTAGCAGACTTAATAGTTGTGCACCGGGTTTGAGTCTGAGTTCAAGGCTACAAAGGGGCCTCTGGGGCGATGTTGTCTGCTTCCTGTCTTTGTGGTTTCTGGGGGGGGCTTTTCGCCTACAAGGATTTTTCGTTCCGTGGGAGCTCGGTTTGCTTGGGCCTTTTGGCTTTGGGGGACGGAGTTTTCCTCCATGGGCAGAAATTTCGACCGATGCTGTTTGTAGCCCTCTCAGCATCCCCCTTTCGCCAACCAGATTTGCTGTTGGGCATGGGTCTGCTGCAAGCTTCCACCTTTCTGAATCCTTGGGTGTTTTGGCGCGGTTTGACCGGAAGGTGTCTGTGTGAGGCCCTGAGCGCTGGGTGGTGGCACCAAGAAGTAATGGTTTTGGTGGCGCTCCCAAGAGGCACGATTTTGCGGAGGACTGCACCTCCAAGCCAGCCAGCAGTTTTCTATTCTGGCGAGTTTTATGTGGCTTTTTTGGCTGCAGTCGCTCTTCTTTCGTGTTTGTGTCGACACCCGATCCGCCAGCGATCAGCGCGGCCAACTGGATGTACGAGGGATTTTTCGGGTTTCTGTAGTCATGTTTATGGCTTTGGTTGTTGGGGCCCTAAGCGACGGTTGTGTCCACAAGCAGAGAGCGCGCTTTTGACGGAGTGGAGCTGGAGGTTGGCTTCGCTTCTTGTCCCCGCTCATCTGACTCAGTCCAGTTCAGAGGCTTCCCTGCCTTTGGTGGGCGAGAGGCCTGTGGTGGTCGAATAAAAACTGCTGTCCGGAGAAGCAGCTGGTTTCGTCGGCCTGGTTTCGGGAGCACAGGCGGATATGACCTCAATCAGCTTGGTCATGAGTTTGGGGTATCTGGTTTAGTGCCCGGTGGAAGCCTGTTTCGTGCTTCCACTCCTGACCTGTTGTGACCAAGCTTGCGCACGTCTGGAGGACGATCCTCAGATAGGCGCCTGATCATTAGGTTGGCCTTTTGAATGCTGCCAGCCCGCTCCAAGGTCTCCTGTACGTCAGATGGGGAAGAAAAAGTGACTAGAAGTTCAAGAGTTCGCTTACTTCCCTTCTGGTGTAGCTATTCTGCTTAGAGCGATTCATCAGGCTTGGTGAAGACATTGCTAAGGATTGCCTGTGCCAGCTTCGCTGGCGTGATTTTTCCGGAGAATGACCCCCAGATTATCAGTCTGTTTCCCTTAGGCGCCAGTCCACTAGAGACGCTGTGGCGGTTTCTATTACCGCGTCAGAAAGTTGTATGACTTTTTCCGCAGCCATGGGGCCCGCTATGGATATCGCGAGGTATTGGTTCAGCGAAGAAAGTTCTTTGTCAAGAAGGTTGCCCCTAATCATGTTATTCAGCGGAAAAACTGTAAGAGGTCGTCCAGGTTGCTGC